AATTTGTTCAGTAGTATTTTTTATTTCACTGCTATTTTTCTCCTTCATGTATTTTGATTTTGCTTGATACATAGATTAACATCCTCACCGTTCATTTTGGCTAGTCTACTGTTTCATTGTTGTTGTTCTTACTAATTTTGTTAAGATTTTAACCTGAATCAGATTTTGATAGTTCATACCTAGGCAGCAATTATTAATTTAACATTTTCCAGTGTATTTCATAACTACTTAGAGATAGGCTTTTTAAATTTTTTAAGAGAGGGAATTTTGTTATGGGGTATGTGCACTCCCCAGGGAGAGACAGAGAGACTGAAAGCTAGAAATCACCCCCCAGGGGAATGGCTATACTACAATCCCTTCTCCTCCATTCTCCTCTCAGGATCTTGGACACGCACGCACACGTACCTGCTGTGAGTTTAATAAGCTACCGGGTCTGGAACTCGAACCGTAGTGGACTACGTGAAAGTCCAGTGACAAAGCCATTATGCCAACTGCTGGTCTGATTTTTAAGGTTTTTTTAAAAATTTACTTAAGTTTTTGTTTATTTTAATTTGACCAGAGAGGGACAGAGAGAAAGGTAAAGTCAGCTGCCAGGTCCAGGATTCGAACCGTGGTCAGCCACGTGGGAGTCCAGTGCCATTACCCACTAGGCCACTTGCTGGCCCCAATGTTTTATTTTAAAATTTTTTTGCTATATGGTGTGCATGCTTGCTGGAGAGACAGAAACAGAAAGTGGGAAATAATTTTCCAGGGGGTATGGCCACGCTGCAATTCCTTCTCCTCCATTCTCCTCTCCAGATCTTGGGCACGCATGCACGTGCACCCAGCATGAGTTTGAGGCAGCTGGTCCAGGACTGAAACTGCGGTTGACTACGTGAAAATCCAGTGATGTAACCCTTATGTCATCTGCTGGTTCCAGTTAATGTTTCAAATAAGTAATAATAAATAAATTTGTCAGGGCCAGCAGGTGGCACAGTGATTAAGGTGCTGGACTCTCACATGATGGTTAACTGGTTTGAGTCCTGGACCCATTAGCTTGAAACTCACAATGGGCACATGTGCACATGTGCCCCAAATCCTGAGAGAAGAGTGGAGAAGGGATTGCAGCATAGCCATCCCCTGGGGAGTGATTTCTCGCTTTCCATCTCTCAGACTCTCTGATGAGTGCATGTGCCCTGTAGCAAAATTCTCTTAAAAAAAAAGTATATATATATTCAGAGGGCTTGTGTGCTCACCAGAGAGAGAAAGTGAAAAAGCACCCTCCTATGGGCAATAGACATAGTGCAATCTCTTCCCCTCCATCTCTCCCTCCGCTCGGGACTTCGGGCATGCCCATGCACCTGGTGTATTTCTCAAGCCACAGGGTTCAGGACTCAGACCTTGTAATCAGCTATGTGGGATCCAACCACGTTAACCACCTTGCCACAGGCTGGCCCTAGAATCCAGCTTGTACAGGATCCTAAGGTCTAGCTCTTCACCTGGCACCATGGCCCTCCTCTTGGAACTAGGATGGGCCGCAGAACAGGAGGAAGAGGTGGAGGGAAGGTGGACGCAGTTACACGGAGGTAGCAGCTTGTCACAGTGTGGAAGGGCAGCATGTTTGGGGTCTCGCAACAGGAGCAACAGGCATGTCTAGAACCCAGGGTGTCCCTGCCTTCAGGGAGCTCCCTGTTTACTGCAGTTACTGAAAGGCATCAGATGCCCACTCACCACTAGCTTGTCTTGCCACCAGGGCTTGGGAGAGGCCAGTTCAGGGCTTACTGTGGAGGGAAGTGCAACCTAAACCTGGGGCCGCCTGGGGCAGGTGGTGCCTGACCAGCAGGCCGAAGGGAGAGTGGGATTAACAGGATGGTGGGGTAGGGTGGGTGGGAGGTGTGCCAAGCAGAGGGCTAGCCTGGGTCAAGGCCTGCTACGTTGAGAGAAGCTAATGAGTCACTACCATTTATAAAGAAAAAAACAGGAATGGCAAAGAAAATAGAGTGATTCTCTTGATCAAGAGCATAAATATTACCTGAAATGTCATTCTGAGCCATACGCCTGTGTGCAGGTAATGGGGACACTGGGTCACCTTGTCACCCACATTTCTTGCTGTGGGTTGCAGTCAAAACATTTAAACGATGCTGCATTTCCTGTCGAATCCAAAACATTAAATCTAAGACCTAAATGTTAAGAGCTAAAACCGTAAAATTCTTAGAAGGAAATATAGGAATAACTCTTTTTTAAAAAAGATTATTTAATTTTATTTATTTTAATTTGACCAGAGAGAGACACAGAAAGAGACAGAGAGAAAGAGAAGGAAAGTGAGAAAGGAAGCCACCAGATCAGGACTCGAACCGTGGTCAGCCATGTGAGAGTGTCCAGTGCCTTAACCACCAAGCACATGGCTGGTCCCCAGGGATAACTGTCAGTGACCTTGGATTAGACGACAGTTTTAGACATGACACCAAACAACAAAAGAAAACCTGGATTTTATTAAAACTCAAGACTTGTGTGTCTCAAAAGACCATCAGATATGGAAAGGCAACACACAGAATGGAAGAAGATTTTTGCCAAGTGATCTAGGTAAGGCCTTCCACTTAGAACACACGAGGAATTCTTACAGCCTCCGCATTGGAGGATACATGGTCCAGTTAAGAATGGGCAGAAAAGGGACCAACAGAGGGACCAACAGATGGTGTAATGGTTACATGGCTGAGCTCACTCGTGTCTGACGGTGGTTCCAGTCCCAGACCTGGTGGCTTCAAACTCATGCCGAGTGGATGTGCACGTGTGCCCAAAATACCAGGAGGAAAATGGAAGAGAAGGGATTGTAGTGGGGCCATCCCCCTGGAGGGGTGATTTCTCATTTTCTGTTTCTCTCTCTCTCTGGTGAGTGCATGCCTCCTTTAGTAAAATTCTCTCTATATATAAAAAGAAAAAAGGAATGGACAGAAAGATGCCAGCAGGTGGCACGGTTTAGGCACGGGGCTCTCACGTGGCCACCTGCAGTTCAAGACCTAGACCCCGTGACTTGAAACACAGTGGGCGCATGTGTGTGCATGCTGAAAATCCTCAAAGGAGAAGGGAGGAGAAGGGATTGTGGCGTGGCCATCCCCCTTGAGGGGTGATTTCTCACTTTCCCTCTCACTGTCTCTATCCCTCTGGTGAGTGGGCACACTCTATGGCAAAAATCTAAAAAAACAAAGACTGGACAGAAAGCTTGCATAGGAATTTCTCCAGGGAAGACGTACAAATGCCAAGAAGCACATGGCAAGATGCTTGATGTTACTAGTCAGCAAGGAAATGCAGGTCACACTGCAATGACAAACTACTTTACACCCACCAGGCCGGCTGGATCAGACAGCAACTGTTGACAAG